GGTGGAGGAAGAGGAAAGGGAGGAGGGGGAGGAGGTGGTGGCGGCAAAGGCGGAGGCGGTGGAGGTGGTGGCGGCACTGGGTCTGGCAGTGGTTCTGGCTATGGAAGTGGCAGTGGCTCTGGATACGGGAGTGGTGGTGGAAGGGGCAGCGGAGGCGGAGGCGGAGGTGGAGGTGGAGGCGGAGGTGGTGGTGGTGGAGGAGGAGCATCTGGTACTGGTAGTGGTTCAGGGTCTGGATATGGATCTGGCTATGGTTCAGGATATGGGTCAGGTGGAGGAGGAGGAAAGGGAGGAGGGGGAGGAGGTGGTGGCGGCAAAGGCGGAGGCGGTGGAGGTGGTGGCGGCACTGGGTCTGGCAGTGGTTCTGGCTATGGAAGTGGCAGTGGCTCTGGATACGGGAGTGGTGGTGGAAGGGGCAGCGGAGGCGGAGGCGGAGGTGGAGGTGGAGGCGGAGGTGGTGGTGGAGGTGGGAACGGCTCTGGCTACGGCTCAGGCTACGGCAGTGGCTCCGGTTATGGATCTGGATACGGTAGTGGTGGTGGTGATGGGGGATATGTTGAACCATGAAACTTTTTCTATGAACATAATTCATCTTTGACAATCAGTAGTAATTCTTGAAATAAATTGCATGGCTTCACAAGGGGTGAACCTTTAGGACCTGCATGGATTGGCTGCATTCATATGTTTCATTAATCATTGTACAGCACATCATGATATTTTATATCTACTGCATGATTATTTGTTTCGATCTAGCTAATATTTTGGATCTCAACACCCATAATAATAACCTCAGTTTTACGAAAGATCTTATCTTACCTACAGTACAGGTTTAATAACAATGATTAGGCAATAAAGGTAAATTGTATTAACTACGTTCACAAAATATTGACTGAATGTGTGATGATCAATGAAAAGCCAAATATAAACTCTCTCTTCTTTGGCCATGTCAGCAACGTGTTAAAACTAGGCCCAAAGTGTACGTGCACGTGTGCAAGCCTATCAAAGTATGTAAAAGCAATTAACCTTGGTTCGAATTTTTATATTCAACCAGTTGAATCTATTCTAGGTCAATCATCTCAACCAAACATGCTATCCCATGTACAAAATAGGACACAAACTAACATTCATCTACAATGTCCAGTGGTACGGATTAGCACATCAGCCTTTGTACAGCTGAATCACCTTCCTTGACCCAGAGAATAGCTTAAAGCAGCATTTATATCTCGTTATTTGAGTTTCAAGGTTCAATTTGATTAAATCCCTAAGCAGAAAGGCCTAATCCCATTATAATGGAGATCCAATTTAACTTCTACAAAATGGTGTTCTCATTACCATGAATGTCCTACCTGAACTAGAAGCAAGAGACACTAATCACAGTGTTAGGATTGATAGCAATATCTGGGTAGAATTGGGAAACAATCTCAATATCTCGACTCAAGTCTTGTGTTTCAGCAATTATAGTTCAGGCATAGCAAATTTGCAGCATACTTAACAAAAAACGAAATGATTGTCGTGTCTGGTCGATGATTGAAGCATGATTTCTTAAGCTTTAAAGTAAAAGTTACTTTCAATACTTATTTTATTACTTTTAAGTTAAAGAAATTACTAATTTGGAAAATAACTCTAATCTTAATCCTAGTTTGAATTTGAGTTGATAAAAATTACTTTTTTGTTGTACTTATTTTCAACTACACGTTCTCCACACAAATATCATTTTCACATTTCCCTTAATTTTTCCTTTCCCTACTTTTGAACTGCACAATCTCAAAAAAAAATCACTTCATGAAAAAATTAACTTTACAAGTGTCAATAGAAGTAACTTACTTGTTTTCAATTTTGACCTATTAAAAATAAAAAATAAAAATCAGCCAATATATGGCTCATGTTTATGTACTATTTATATGCTTTTATCCACACATTTCAAAAGACCCAAAAGTATATTGACTAATTTTTATCTATTTATAATTTAAACCACTTATACACACTTCCCAAACATACTTCTAAAACTTACGTATTTACTTGTAAATGAACTTTGTATTGCTTAGCCAACATGCTCTCTGTGTGGTTCCTGCATCAATTTAGTTGACACGGTTCTGATTTCATGGAAATTTTGCAAGTTTCTTACAGTCTCATCAAGTTTTCATAATTTCACCAAGATAATAAATGTGGACGGATTGAATTTGCCAAATGTTCACAGAAACTGAGGTAGGACAAATACCAATATTGTCAACGAGCTTAAATGATAATGTCGAGGCCCCATCACCTCTCAGTAATGAAAGCAACTTTTCGCAATATCATTGTTTCAGCTATACGAATTGCACTTTGAGGCCCTGAGATGGTCACTTTCCTACAAAACAACCAAGAAGGTGTGAAGACAAATTTTAGGGTGCATAAGCCACCCAAACAACATAAATCATCCATCTTCTTGTACCTATCTGATGTCCCAGACATGAAATCACCCCGTTCAGATATCTTTATCCTGGCGCCGCTAAGCTGCAAGGTGAGAAGCACATAGTATGCAATTAAGCAAACACTGAGAAAAATAGACACCAGTTACGAACCTGACTGATCTCCATAACACTCCTTCCACCACGGCCAACAACTATTCCTTTATTTTCAGCTGGGATGGCAATAGTCAAGGAACTACTTCTATCTTCCTACAACACCAAGTGGCATTCTGTAAGTCAAACACACAAATAAAAGAGTTTGAACATTGAATAGAAAATGGAAGCAGCCTACTCCTTCCGTGCAATCGGAGCAACAGACAAGTCAGATGAGTGAAGTCTATTTGAAGTCACTATGCCACAGGTGATCTAACACTGTTCGTTTATTATCTAATAGAAGCCAGTTAATGTCATAAAATTGTTTTAAGTTCTCTTGGGTTACAACCCTTGGAAAGTTTCATAATGGAATACAATTACCAGTCAGCAGAAAAGATTTATTGATCATTATGAGGGGAAAAAAAATGAAAAGAGGATTTACATAGACGTCTTAGAAAGTGATGACTATGGATTATTTGTTGTAGAAAGTTCAAACTTGGATATATATACCTTCGCATTTTTGAAATGCATGAATTAAATAGCATTTGGTCTAAAAACATGAATTGCAAACAAGCAGTCAGGAGCATTTTGATAAAACTACAACTAGGAAAAATAGCTGGTCAAATAATTGAAGATTATAATAGACCTTTTTCTGAAACAAACTTCCAACTATATCTGGTCCAAATTTCATCCCATTTTATGCAAGTGCTGGACAATGTCAACAAATGACTTCTATTTTAAATTATAGGAAAGCAGTTAGAAAGAAAATTTAATAAAATGATGAACCTTTCTTATTTTCCAGATAAAACACCTCAAATTTGAATTTGCAAATAATTGATTAGGCATAACTTGTCTATTAAATAACTCCGTCATAAAATAATAATAATAATAATAATAATAATAATAAAAGATAAGATAAGATGCAGCAGCAAACCTGCTGCATTGAGTTCATAATAACTGCCAGTTGTCAATGGGATCTCATAACAAAAATAAAAAAGGATTTTGCCTGGTGCATATAATTTTTTGTACATCAAAGTGTCCCACACTCACGTCGGGTGGGGCCACCCTATGTGAGTGTATGGATACCTTAATGTACAAAAAATTATGTACAAGTACTGTTATCCAATAAAAAATATTGCTATGCTAAATCGCCAGAAGCACTGCTGTCATTAAAATCAGATATTAAATATAGCAATGCATGAAGAATTTTCTCTGGATCACACTTGACATTCTAGCACTTCCAGAAGCTAATTTCGTAATTTGTAGCATAATCTATTAAATTTGCAATCCAGGCCACACAATCCTACAATCCAGATTCAAATAATTGACAAGATAGAGGATTATCGTTTATGAAATTATGTGCCAAATATACTCTCCCAACAAAAAAATATTAATAACAACAATCTAAACTATTACCAATAAATTTGTGTTATTCTTCTCCATTCTGTTTATTGCTAGATCTAATCAGAGATCTAGAGCAAGAATATTCTTAGCAATCACCTAAACCTTCCTCCATTTAATTTATCCTCAATCAATGCCACCTCCACTTGTTGGCATGCATTCTTATTTCCTATTTTGTCCAACTTAGTATGACCGCACATCATCTGAGCATTCTTGCAGAAGATAAGAAATGAGTATGTATGCCTACTTTAACATAGACAGATTCTCTCCCCATGCCCCAGTGTCATATCAAATTGCACAACATGAAGATGCATATGAACCATATATATCTAAACCATGCTAGCCTCACAAATCAAGTTCGCTTGTCTAAGTGAGAAAAAAAATAAAATAAAATAAAATTAACCGGACTTATCAGTTATACTGACACTTGTTGGCATGCTAGAAGACCTTAGACCAATTGTTCAAATACTAAAAGGCTAACTTGCACACCCATCCCCAATGTATACACCGTTCTGCAATATTATCTTCAAGCTTTTTTTCTTGGTATTTCATCTTCAACCTTTTAGTTTTTAGGTGCCATTAGTCCCTACAGACCATTTCCGTCCAAACTTACATTAGGCTGGCCTTGAAAGACACGTTTTTCCTCAAACTTGAATAAGCAAAAGTTAATAACATGGTTAAAAAAAGGGTTATAGAGAGGCTTGGGTAATGGCTGACAGAAAGCAGCGGTTGTTGGAAGACAGTTTGAGAGATGCTGGGAAGACTTGGAAAATGACTATGAGCATGTTTGGGTGCATGCTTGTTTAACTTAAAAAGAGAGAAAAAAATGGAATTGGATGCATGCTTAATTTACTTATAAGAAGAGAGAAGAGTATTAAGTGTTGCGTGTTGTCACACCTGTCCTACCCACCTGGGCCAATGGCCCACTCATCCTGATCCACGTATCGTTCCTGCCGAGGTGGCACACATTGTCGAGGTGGGTTATATCCGAAGTGCTTCAGCCGAGGTCCATCCGCCCGAGGCTCCTCGATCTGATCTATGCGAGTCTGCCGAAGCCCAACTACCAAGGCCCATCCTCAGGTGGGAGTATTTGTTAAATGTTCGAAGCCCCGAAACTGACGCACGAGCCTCTTAACCACAAGAAGCTTCCTCCACAATCACTTCTCCCAAGAAATCGCCTGCTCAGAGATCTTATTCAAATGACTGATGGAACGTTTGTCACAAGCATAAAGGTCAAGTCTTGTCACTAATATGAAGGACCTACGCAAGCAATAAATGCGCCGTAAGCTAGTAAGTCAAGCCCCATACCTAAAATAAGACGTTTAAACTAAAGAAATGAGGCCACGTGTCACTTCATCCAAGGGCTCCCATTTCATATGTATCACTATAAATACTTCCATTGTGTGATGTCAAAGGCTAATGCAAGAATCAATACTAAATACTACATTTGCTCAACTCTCTCTCATTTACTTGCAATACACAAATCGAGTCTATACACTTTTACATATACATTTACGAGCATCGGTTGGTAATTATTGTACAATCCGATTACAAACAACCCGCCGGATTCCAAACTTCACCGTCCCGCATCGTTGGGCTACTCCCACGCCCCTTTGAACCGCTCGTTTTAGACCGTCCACGTGTCTTAGCGTGTTGGACATTCGCCCACGCAAGCGCGGGTGGGACCGGCATCTGTTGGCGCACTTTTTGGGGTCAACAGATTGGCGCCGTCTGTGGGAAGTCATACCATAACTACGAGCAACCTTGTGATAGAAGCTTACTAAAAAACATTTGGGCAACCCCCTTGAAAAAGGATTTGTTCTTGAAAAAGAACGGGAGGAACCCCTATCACTTAGAGAAATCTAAGTTTGATAAAAGAAAAATGAGTTCTAACGAAGATACTCCCCCAAGGAGGGTAAGAGAAAGCACGAATGTGCCTCCCCAACCTCAGCTCGGACGAGGCTCCACCACCACCAAAGGAGAGGTGAGATGTGTGCGACAGCACGACTATCAAGAGAAATGGCTACCATGGCAGCCAACATGAGGGATATAGCCAACCAAAACTTGGCCATGAGCTCCTCATGGCCCAAATGCAAGGCCAGGGAGGCTTCCCCATTCCTCCATATGCCCCCCACGGGCACTATCAGCAAGAGGACGAGGTCAGAGTCATAGGGCTGCCTCGCCATACTATGGCCGAGGTGAAAGCCCATTTGAGAGGGAATTGGAAGTCGACATTTCCTCCAACTATGCATCTGGCCGACCCACCGAGGTCCAAATGAGCCATGATAACTTTCCACCCCCATATGAGCAAGACCCAAGACATAGAAGAGCAGGAAGTGTTTTTGACAGAATCAGCCCTACCGAACCGAGGCCCAGTCAACAGCAGGCTCAGCAGCCTCGGACGAGGCCACAGCCTCCACCTTCGATACCCCAGCAGCCGGAGAGAAGGCATGAAAATGCCCCCCGCGCTGTCCCGCCTAGAAGTAGGCCGCAAAGGAGGGAGGAAGAGGCTAGGAACCGGCCCGGACCCTCTCACCAACAACCGAGGAACGAGGCCGAAGACTACAATTCTGATGAACAGCAGAGGTCCTGTGACTTGGACGATGATGATGAGAACCTATCATTCTTAAGAGAACTAAGAAATGCCCAGGTCCCGAGCCACTATGTCATGCCAAAAATACCAAAGTATGATGGGAGAGGTGACCCAGAAAAGCACCTCAACGCTTACAAAACTCACATGAGCCTGAGGGACGCTACCCCAGCCGTAAAGTGCAGAGCATTCCATTTAACCCTCAGTGGAGCGGCTGAAATCTGGTATAGTAGGCTACCACCTGGGAGCATCCGAAGCTGGCCCGAGTTCAAGACTACCTTCTTGAAGAGGTTCGCAGTGAGCAAGGAAGGAGAGGCCCCCATCCAGCGTCTCCAAGACATGAGACAGGCACATGGTGAGTCCCTGAAAAGCTTCCTATCTCGCTTCACCGACGAGATGACCTACTGCGTACAAGTCACCGACAGAGAAGCACTATCTGCATTGAGAGGAGGCTTGAACATGAACACCCTATTCTAAAGGGATGTGTAGAATCAAGACCCCACCACCTATGACGCCCTACTAGAAATGATGAGAAGGGAGATAATCAATGAAGAATTGATTGAGCATAGGAACATGGCAAACAGAGGCCTCCCACCTCCTCAAAGACAGCGAGGTAGGGGTCCGACCTCCCACCTCATGGACTACCAGATGAACCAGGCCGGAAATGAGAACTCCAGCCAAGCTCTGGCCACCACAACTCTGAACGCGGTTCCTACCTTGGCATATGAGGATGTCAACCCAACTGCTGACCCACATCAGATGGAGGCCCAGCAGGGACCCCGTAGAGGAAGAGGCCGAGGCCGAGGTTTTGCACCTAGAAATAGGTCCAATCCGAACCTCCCTGGATACTGTTTGCACCACAGGTCCTACGGGCACGACACTGCGGATTGCAGAGACTATGCACACCGCTCCCGGCAGGAGCCCGCCAGAGAAAGACATAACTCGCCCCAGGCGAACAGGCCCCCGCCCAGGCACAACAATCGACATGGGCGTGAGGCGGCCGCTCCTCGTCAAAGGAATGTATCCCTAAGGCGAAGAGAGCAAGACACAGAGAGGCCTAGGGAAGGGCGTAGACACCGAAGAAATAGGCAAGCTCAAGATGAGGCCCCTATCCACGAGATAGATA